AACTCAACAACAACAACAAATGTAGGCCAGATCGTCTCAAAGTAATATACCTACGCAGCACAAATGGAAAAATTCAAATGCCCCAAGGAGATTCAACTGCTTTATTCATTCAAACTTGTATCATAATAGGCTCTAATCATTTAAAGAATACATTCCCCAACACTAAATCACCCTTTTCATCTCAGCTCCTCTACTAGTTCTTATCTTCAAGGAAACCTAGTTATTTGCCCATCTTTCTAGACAATCTTGCTATTCCTGACCTTCAATCAAGAAGCCTTTTCTCATTAAATATTTTACTTTCTTCTTTGACTCTGTGAATTCTCCCCTTTCACCCCCAAAAGTACAAAACAGCCTTTAGCAAGATAATTTCCACTTTTCCCTCGAAATCACTCTAAAAAAGGTGCTTTCAAGTCTACCCTCAATCTCCTACAATTCAAAAGGATCAAAATTAATTACAACTGTACAACAATTTATCTATAGCGTCACTTATCCAGCATCATCAGAAAAGGAGGGGTATGTGTTCCACAAGAGGATTTTCCACATAAACGAAGCTTACCTCACTTTTAAATGTCAAAATTTTATTTTTCCTACTTTTCATAGATCTTTCTAAAATCTATAAAAATTCAATCAATTACATAATTATTTAATAAGCATTTGGTTTGTGCTTCACACACTGTCCTAAGCACTGAAGATATTATAGACAAAAATAAAAATTGCCCCTACCTTCAAGAAACTCACATGCTATTTATCTTGACCATCAATTATTTTATCTACTTCTTAGTTTGTCTATCTTTTGTCATTAAACTATCACTTCTCACTTCTCACTGCTGAACAGGTGTGCCTACCTGCTCCCGCCATCCCTTTTATTAGCTATGTGATAAGTTATTTTACTATGTGATGAAGAATCAGGACTTACATGAAATAAGAATAAACAAGACTCTCAGTAAAGGCAAAGGGCCTAAAGAAGGAGGGCCTCAGACTAAAGAGAAAGGGTCACACTTGGCTGCTGGGATTGTGTAGCTGCTATTTTCAGTGCTAAAGGCTAAGTTCTGGAAGGCTGAGGTTGCCACTGGTCTCCAAATAAGTACATTGTTTGACTGTACTTTTCTGCTCACTTGCGGTATGGTATATTAACATCCTTTCCCCTTGCTTACCTCTATACATGCCCAATGCCTTACCTAAGTCTAGTGAGTACCATGACTAATTCTGTTTTAAGTACTTAGCAATGGAAATTACAGAAGTCAGTATATAATTGGTGTCCAAAGTTGGCATAATGTCATCATTCCTTTTTTGTCACACTGCCCATATGGTTATATAAAAAAGAGCTTAATATAAATTATAATTCTTTCCAAATATAGGCATCTAAAAATAACTTAAAGGTTCATTACATTCATATTAGTCCATATAGAGATAGTGGGATTTGACATAGAAAACTTCATTTGGACCTCTATTGTTTATAAAAATAGGACAGGATTCTGTTTTCTTATGTTCTCAAAGTACCACCCCAAGACCACTAATACACCTGCAAGACAGAACAGAAACACAAGTGCTAAAAACTGCTAGTTTATTTTTAAAGAATTTCAATTTTAGTTTTGTTCATTTGAAAATGGTCTTTTCAAAATAAAATACAAGACAGCAACTGCTTAGTTGCCATGCAGTTACTTAGACTACATTACATAATTCCTAAAGCAAGACCTTATTCACTTGTAACAAGATAAACAGTCTTTGTCTAATACAAGAGCTAGAAGGAACTTAGTCTTTTCCTTTCTCAAGATATCTTCGATGAAAACAATAGGGGTCCTAAATAAATAAATGTGGCATCTAGTTGGCACAAGGATAGAAAGCTTGGCCTGGAGTCTAGAAAACCTGAGTTCAAATCTGGCCTCAGACAATTACTAGTTGTGTGACCCTAACAAGTCATTTAAACTGTTTGCCTCAGTTTCTTCATCTGTAAAATGGAGGTAATAATATCACCCACTTCTCAGGGTTGTTGTGAGGTTAATATGAAATAATAATTGCACAGCACTTGACGCAGTGCCTGGCATATAGCAAG